CTTGTCCTATCCCTACATGCCCTTGTAAAAAGTCCCTCTCCAGTTTTTTTTTGTCAGCCCAGAGCCTTCTCTTCTGTGGGTTGAACAAGCCCAACTTTGTCAGCCTGTTGTCACAGGAGAGGTGCTTCAGCCCTCAGAGCATCTTTGTGGCCTCCGCTATACTTACTCAAGCAGCTCCATGTCCCTCTTGTGCTTGGGGCTCCAGAGCTGGACGCAGGACTGCAGGGGGCTCTCGTGAGAGCGCAGCAGGGAGGGAGAAGCCCCTCTCTCAGCCTGTTGGTCAAACTCCCTTTGATGCACTCCAGGACCCAGTTGGCTTTCTAGGCTGCGAATGCACATTGCCGGGTCACATGGAGGTTCTTGTCAGCGAACACCCCAGCTGCTCTCAGTCCAGTCTCCACCCAGCCTGTATTTGTGCTCATTTAATGCCATGCATCATCTACTCAATGTTTCATAAAAATACTGGCTGCTCATTAAAGCAGAGATTAAAAGCTCACTTAGCATCTCACTGGGTACTACAAGCAGTCTTCGCAGTCTCATGCTCTCTCTCCAGAATATTCACACCACACTGCTCCATCAGAGCATTTGTTAGTCATGCATATCCTGGATATGACCAGACACCCACTATGCAGGTGAAACTCAGGAGAAGTTAAAATCATCCTGGCATCCAGACAGCTACTCATGCTCTACTTTGTCTCAACTCCAAAGCATATTGTGTCAACTCAGCAGTTAACAGAATAAGCAAGAAAATGTAGCTTTTCTTCTGAAAATGCAATTTTTGCATGGATACTTTAACATATGCCACAAAATCCTTTCACTCATTAAGGACAAAATCTTAACAGGTCTACAACTTAAAGGCAGATTATTTTGTTGTTTTCACCAAATATGAAGCAAAATAAGAATAGTCACATGCCCTCTAAGAACCTCAAGTTCTTAGACCATATAGAAAGAGAGGACAGCTAGAAAACAACAGACAATCAAAAACACATTAAAAAGTCTTAACATTTGTTTATTAGAACAATTTGGTGAGGTAATTTATGAATATGAAGTAGCAATATTATAAACACCTTGTGTTTTTTCCCCCAGAAAATCATAAATCGTACTTCATCTTGTCTTTTAGTTTAGCACGTTTCTGTAGATATATTCAGCTGCCAGATCACATTGAGCTGTCATTCCCATGCATGTGATGGCAAAGTGGGATTTTTTTTTATTGTTTTTTAAGTGTGCGAAGTAATCTGTTAGTACAAGTATTTGTTTAACTCCATTTCTGATAGTTACACCTTGAAATTCTGGGGTTTTTTTCCTGTCTATTATTTAACAGTTTCTAATGACAGCTTAACCTTGCAAAGTTCAGTTACAAAGCACAGCTTTATGTGGCTTGGACTGTAAATTATTAAATTAATAGAGCTTATTCTGAGATAAATTATAATCTAAATAGTAAAAAGAGCAAAAATGAGCTGGATATCATCATTTATCATGTCGTACAATAAGAAACAAACATCCAGCAAAATAGGACAGTAATACTCAGTGAATCCTGCTTCTTTAGAAGTTGTCAAAGACGGGGGGGGGGGGGAACCCAATCTGTATTAGCTTGTAATTCACTATGTATAGAAGTATAATTTCCATCTGCAGTTATTACAAAATGTCCCAGAACAGCAAAGCTGAATTTCAGTTTTGGAGTGCAAATATTTCTGAGGAGAATGTACTAATTTTTCCCACTGAAACATGGCTACATGACAATACTAAGAAAAATAAACTGGGGGGAGTAGGTAATGTATTTGCTGGAAAGATCTTCTTTCTTAGAAATATGTGCTTAAAGGTTGTAGATGCCTTGCAAGAGGACACATGATAGGCTTTACAAAGCTTTCATCTCCCTTCCACAGAAATGCCATCTCTGAAAAATCTTTATTATGAAAACAACGGCAGTTGCCTTATCTTTACAGGGGTCAGTGCAAAAATGGAGTAGCACCAGTGCCATGGGACAACATTTCCGGGATGCTGCTCCACCTCCGCTTCTCTTAGTGGCATTACTGAAGCATGTTGACCCTTATGGGTTGTTGTATCTTCTGCTAATACTATCCTGAAACTTCACCTTAGGGAAGCAATAACCTGATCTCAGGAAAGAAGTGTGAATTCGGTATATTCCATATGTAACCTCTGTATGCAGTTAAACCTGAAATAGAAACAGGAACAAAGAGCTTTCAGAGAATCACCTCCTCCACAAATTTAATCCAATATAAAATTAGCTACACTTGTTCAACAGGCTGCTTTCATTTGGACAAAAGGGTACTTAAAATAACTATTGCAGAAGTAAAAATAACGCTGGTTGTTGGTGGGTTTTCTTGTTGTTTTGTTGTTTTTTTTTTTGGGGGGGGTGTATGTGTGTGGATTTTGGTTTTGGTTTTTTTTTTCAAAGATAGTTTATATGCAAAAAACAAATAAAACAAAACCAAAAAAAAAAGGCATTTGTTGGCTGATGCCTAAAATCTCCACCTGGTGGTGAAATCTGCCACAGCAAATTTAAGAGAAATTCCCGTTCCAACATAGAGCCAGTTCTTTACTATAGACAGTCCCAAAACAACAAGGGGGGAAGGGCAGCCTTCAATAAAAAACAGCACTATCATATTTACCCCATTTTCCATCATCTTGGAAAGCTAAAGAATCCTTCCAGTTATATTGCAGCTATCAGGTGTGTAACTGAAGTTCCTCAACCAAAAACAGACTTGCAGAGAGCTCCTGTTGTACCATATGTAGGGTGGAGTGGAAGGTGAAGTGTGCTGTTTTTTTCAGCTGCAAAAATCGCTGCTTCCTAAGGAGAAGCATCTGCCAAGACTGAAGTTTTGCTCTATTGCTCAGTTTGCACATTGGTTAGTTATCATAATTGAAAACTTTAAGCAATATCAGCTACCTATATCCTCAGGGTACTCCAAACCATAACATAATTAGCACTGTAGTATCATGTTAGGGATAATTCTCTAGCTGCACATAATTAGCTCATTTTTCCCTTTAACACTGCTGGTTCTACACCCTAGAAACATTTTCTGGATTTACATTTTCCTGCTTACCTTATTAAAATGTAGTATCTCACCTAGTAATTTCAGTAAAGATTTATTACCTAACAGCATCAATAAAAACTTTGTAAAACAGAATAAAATCATTGTAAAATGGACATTTAAAATCTACCAAGCAAAACCCTTGATCTACAGCATTGTGCTTACTACATATCCCTTTCTATACTCTATTCCACTGGACATTACCAGTGCTTTGTGTTAGTCAATTTGGCTAATGACCCCTCATAGTGCAAAAACAAAACATTCCCCTTTCACACTTGATAAGTCTGAGTAACAGTTACAAGACTTACAGGTAGCTGCAACCTGCAGCGACTTATGCTTTACATAGGAACAGGCTGCCTACAGCTATCCTCTGCTTCAAGTGTATGACCAAAGCCAGTAGTTTTCTTACACATACGCATATAAATATATAATATGAGCCTTTTCCTATGCCAGAAGGATCGTGTGATTACAGACTTTCGTGCACTATCGTCTAAAACATCTAGGATGACCTCCTGCTGATGTATACAAATTATTCACTAACCACAACACAGCTCTTCTGGGCCAAAAAATGAGATTTTGTTTAAACTGGACCAAATCCACTTTCTGTAAAGTCACCGATTTGCAATTTTAAACACCATCAGCTTTGAACCTCAAAAGATACCGCTACTGAAACAGCAATGGATTTTTTTGTTGTTTAATACTGACATTGAGAGCGAAAGTACAAGCAATGGGAAGACTGCAGCAAGCCCCCAGCACCACGCTGTAGAGAATTACACAACTGCCTTACATCCTACTTGTTTCATAAGACATTTTCCACACGCAATGAAGATTAAAAATAGTAGTAGAGCGTACTGATTAAAAAATAAATAACCTATGACAAAAAGGTAAAGCATCTTCAAATGGCAAAATCTGACGGAAATGAGCAAAGATTTGCTTACAAAGCGACTATACAGAGCAGCGGGGGGGGGGGGGGGGGGGGGGTATTTTAAAGCAAAAGTGCCGGCAGAGAAGTCACTGGTGATTTGAAAATAAGATGCCCAATAACGGGATTTGGTATCATCATAAACATACCTAGAAATAAATACATTCAGTATTCCTTTCTAATCCCCCTCTCCCCATACATCCATTTGCAACACAAGAGTCTTGCAGTGAGCCTCCTTCCATACATATGGGGAAAAACAGTCTTCCAACCACTTGTTTAACGTACATATTAAAATTACCTCGTTAACAAGCTAACCCCCACGTTCCCCAAAGTGCTCAATGATATGTCATACTGGGGGGCACCCGGAGGTCAGCAGGATACTAATGGCACGGTGCCTTTTGCCCATTAGATTTCTCCTGCAGGGTGACAGTTTTTTTCAGTCAGAAAAGCGCATTTTCTCCCGGGAAAACGGGGCGACAGCGGGCAGGTGCGAGAACAGGCATTAAGAAACATTACCGGGAAAAGTCGTAGTTTGGGGGGAGAGGAGGGAATAGGGGGTGGTATTTCAGCACCTCTCTAGACACCACGCACCTGTGTCGCTCGGCACAACGCCGGCCGCCGAGAAGCGCCGTCAGCCCTGGGGAGCCCGTGGGTGGCTCCCGCCGCCCTGCCCTGAGGAGACGCCGGCGGCGGCGGCGATGGGTACAGGGCAAGCCCGGTCGCTGAGGAGCCGCCTCCCCAAAAGAGCCTCCCACCTCTTCCCCAAAGCCACCGGAGACTCAAAAGGGGCGGGGGCTCCCGACAGGGTCCTCCACTACCCCCAGGGGCTCCCCTCAGCCCTCCGAGGCTCCCGGCTGGCAGACCGCGACCCGCCGCGGAGGAGGCTTAGCCGAGGTAAGAGGACGGGGCCTCCACATGCTCGCCGCCACCTCAAGCGCCCCCCGCAGCAGCATGACGGCATCCCGGGGGCGGGGCTCACTGCAGGTGGCAGAGGGCGGTGGCGGGGCGGGCAGGCACGAAGCGGCGCGAAATATCCCATTTCGTGGTAGTTTCCTGAGGGCGGACGGACAGCCAGTGACTCACTGGCGGCGCCAGGCATAAATAGGCGGGCGCCTACCTGGGAGCGGCATTGGGCTCTCGGCGCCGAGCACCCGCAGAGCTTGAGACACAGCAAGAGCCCCCGCCACAGCCCCGCCTGGAGATGATCCTACCCTGCGCCCTGGTGGCTGTCCTCCTCGCTGCCAGCCACGCAGGTGAGTCCCCTCCTTCCCCTCACGGGGGCAGGAGCGGGTCCGGCGCCGGGTGAATCTTGATCTAAGCCATCGATGAGCGTTTCTTTTCGGCTGCGAATGAATTAATATTTGTAAGGTTTTTCTAATGTTCTGTAGTCTCTTGTGATTTCTCCTGTGCTTGCTATATAGTAGAAAGTATGTTAGGCCTCTTGCTGGATAATCCAACGCTTCTGAGGATATTTACTATTGCCAGGAAACAAACTCCTATGCTTTTGCTAATAACCCTTACCTGTAGCAGCTTAAAGGCTAGGGTGAATCGTTGTGCGGTCTCTGTCTTCCCAATAAACATTGAACTTCAGGGTATTGCCTACCTAAGTTTGATAAGTTATCTTAGTGAGATAAGAATACTGGTATAAGGATATAAAATGCTAATTGGAGCATTTGGTTTCATTCTAGCCAACCCTTGCTGCTCAAACCCTTGTCAGAACAGAGGAGTATGTATGACAACAGGATTTGATCAGTATGAATGTGACTGTACAAGGACGGGGTATTATGGGGAAAACTGTACAACACGTAAGTATCCTAAATCTCTCTTCATGGAATTGAAATTTGATAATTAAATTCCAGTATTGCAGGTCATCCTCAATAGCTAATTTACAATAATCTTTTCATTAATGCTCACAGCGGAATTCTTCACGTGGCTGAGGCTGACATTGAAACCTTCACCAAACACTGTCCACTACATCCTCACCCACTTCAAAGGAGCCTGGAATATCATCAACAACATACCTTTCTTACGGGATGCTATTATGAGATATGTATTAACATGTAAGTATGAGTTCTCTCTTCTAGTCCTCTTAACTGACAGAAGTCATTCCTAGAGCTCCAGGGTGATTGATTAGTCTGTATATAAAGTCAGCAACCTAAATCGCACTGAAGTAAAAGCACTCTATTCAACTTGAGACTCCTGCATGATGCAGATTTGTATGAAACATGCTTTGAAATGGTGATGCATTTTGCTCTGATCTCTAATAGAATTCAGGATTTTGCTAGCATAAACTTTGCACTAAATTACTCATGTTAATTGCTGGATTCAGTGGATAATCAGAGACTCAGTACTGTTATTCAGCAGCTGTAATCCCATTTACCAGCAGTAGCAGATATGTGTGGAATTTCTCAATGAATGCAGCTGCTTCCAGAATACATGGAAAAGATATGGCCTTGTGACTTTTTGAGACTAAAATACAGCTTGCGGAGGGGGGGTGGGACCAAACAAACCAACAAACAACCAAGCAATTTTTTTCATTTTCTTTTTCAGCAAGATCACATCTAATCGACAGCCCACCAACTTACAATAGTGATTATAATTACAAAAACTGGGAAGCTTATTCCAACCTTTCCTATTACACAAGAAGCCTTCCACCAGTAGGACTTGACTGTCCAACACCAATGGGTGTGAAAGGTAAGGAAAAAACCAAATGCATAATGTTCACTTCTAGGAATTTCAATTTATCTTATCTTGGAAAATACCATGAGTTCTGCTTTTTATAGCCTTCTTTCAGTGCAGGTTACTGTAAGAATAGCCATTGGTTTGGATACACTGTGTAAAGATGTAAAAGATAACTATGTTGGCTCTCACTGCGTTACATGTTAAAACTGGGGAATTCAGAAGTTTCAAACAAAATCAAGAAAGTAATCATAGAGAAGCAGATAATTCCTCTCATTTTAATGCTGCTATCCCTTGATAATATATTGACAGTTTTAAGCCTTTTTGTTAGGAACAAAATTATGTATTGCATAAACATAGTTGTCTGGAATATTTCACTATTTCTTGCAGGTAAGAAAGAGCTCCCAGATTCAAAGCTGATTGTGGAAAAGTTTTTGCTAAGGAAAAAATTTATTCCTGACCCACAAGGCACAAATGTGATGTTCACATTCTTTGCCCAACACTTCACTCATCAGTTCTTCAAGACGGACCACAAGAAAGGACCTGGCTTCACCAAAGGTCTCGGCCATGGGGTATGATCATAGCTCTGTAACTTGAACACAGCACTTTAGCGTTGTAGCTGCTCAGTGGCAATAAAGGTCTATCTTGCAGGTTGTCAGGGTACACAAACACTAGTGCACATACTCTGCAGCACTGCTTGCCAGAATCTAATGGCTTTATCCCCTCTGTAGTTTCTGCTTAGGCAAAATTCCAGCACTTGATAACATCTTGTCCTGGGTCAGAACCACTTATGTAAAGCACATGGTTCTGGTTAAAATATCTGCATATTGATCTTTGACTTTTTTATTATTCCCAAGATTCTGCTATCACCTAAAGCATGTTAGATCTAGTGAGTATCTAGAACTTCTCGGTTGCAAAGAGCTGTACCCAGCACTGTAAAGTATGTTGTCTGCTGCTAATCAAAGAGACTTAGTTTAAAAAGAACTTCAAAAGCAGACTTGGTTTAGGATCTTTATCTATAAAACAGGCAAACTTTGGACAAAGAGTTCTTCAGTATAAGCAATGTGTATGTCTGAGACAAAGCAATAAAATATGTGTGTATATAAAGACCTTTCTGCATAATAGAAAGCTGCCAACACTTTAAACAGAGTCCTTTTTAAATCGCCAATCAATTTAAAAACTTGCTGTTATGCAGAGATGGCTATAGTTGCCAGGAAATAATTTGGCTTCATCTTAAATATCAGTGCGTGATACTTATAAGGTGGTAATAATAATATAATTAAAGGGTAAACATCTAAGAGATGAACTCCTATTGGCATCCATAGAAGTGGGACGTATACTAAAATAGCAAGAAATGTGAGCTGGCTTCATGTTGCAAATGATTTTATTTTATAGGTTGACTTAAACCATATTTATGGAGAGACTCTGGAGAGGCAACTTAAACTGAGACTTCTGAAGGATGGAAAGTTAAAATACCAGGTATGTCTTATCTCAGAATCCCTGCCTTCTTACTGCATGACATGTACTTAAAACAAGTGCTCTGTGCATGGCTGATCTAAAGAGTAAGCCTCAAGTTGGTAGTAACAGTCAACACAAGTTAACTCATAGCGTCATGGCTTACAAGTCTCTTGTTCTTTCTCCCTACCTCTGGCAGATGATTGATGGAGAAATGTATCCACCAACAGTGAAGGACACTCAGGCAGAGATGATCTACCCTCCTCACATACCAGAACACTTGCAGTTTTCTGTTGGGCAGGAAGTGTTTGGTTTGGTTCCAGGCTTGATGATGTATGCTACAATATGGCTGAGGGAGCACAACCGGGTCTGTGACATCCTGAAACAGGAGCACCCTGAGTGGGATGATGAGCAGCTTTTCCAGACTACTAGACTCATATTGATAGGCGAGTGTCACTTCTACTACATGCAACTCTAACCTTCTCTTGTGCATGACAATTCTACCTGTTATCTACTACAGATGCAGTAGGTGTAGTAAGAGGCAAAGCTATTACTCAAACTGGCACATGAGGGCATGCATCTGAGGCTGCCTGACCTGTCACTGGGACTGTATTGAGATACAGTTTCCTCCTGTATAGCTATATTAAAGAGAGAACTGAATAAAACTGAGCTAAGTGATACTTAATTCCCTTATCAAATGGAAACAGAACTGAAAGCTGTGAAAAAGCAGGAAGATAAGGCTCATTTCTCAGAGAAAGCATGTAAGGCTAGGTGACCTCAGTTTCTTGGATCTTGTGGGGGGTTTTTTTGTGTTGTTTGGTTTTTTGCTGTTAGTTTTTGTTTGTTTTTTTTTTTTTCCCTTGGAGTTGAGTCAGTTCAGGTATGCTTTAAAAGAACAGCTGTGTTTGTTTAATGTTCAGGAAGTTGTGTAAAATGTAATTCTACATATTTGTCTGTCTGTTCAGTGGTATTTAGCCTTCTGCACATTGTGATGTACAATAAGCTTGAAAAGACTTTGCCCAAACTGACTGAAACTGTAAACCAAGACAGTGCTATTAAGCAGCTCAGAAGCTGACAGTTGCTTTTAGATACCAACTTTCTTCGTTATCCCCTAAATCCACCCTAGAGAGTATTGTATAACTGAACACAGTGTAGATACTGATGTGTGCTGTTCTGTGGAACATACAAGGAAGTGTGTCTGGGGTGAGGGAAGCAGCCTGTAGAAAATGCTTCTCTACCACAGCAAAAAAAAATTTGGAATCTTAAAGTACTGCTTCACCCCTTAATCATGTAAACTAGATGAATTCTTTTCTGGAACAGACAACAATGTTGAAGAGTGTGTTACCCTGCTCATTATAGGTCTGGAGGGTTTTTTTAAGAACGGTTCAGAAATGGTATTTTCTCTGAGCAGAGGAATCATCTAAATTTTGTGAGGCAATTGGTACCAATGTCCTCCTCTGTTTCATTGCCCAACAGGAGAAACAATCAAGATCGTTATTGAGGACTATGTACAACACTTGAGTGGCTACCACTTCAAACTCAAGTTTGATCCTGAGCTGCTGTTCAACCAGCGATTTCAATACCAGAACCGAATTGCAGCTGAATTCAATACTCTCTACCACTGGCACCCACTTCTGCCTGACACTTTCCAAATACATGACCAGGAGTACACTTTCCAGCAGTTCCTCTACAACAACTCCATAATGCTGGAACATGGTCTTTCCCATATGGTGAAATCTTTCTCCAAGCAAAGTGCTGGCAGGGTAGGTACTCTCTCAAGTTGCTAGTGAACTAACAGAGATGTAAACTAGGGGTGGGACAAGGGGGTAAGATAAAGCTATCAAAAACTGATACTATAAAGGCACAACTTCATCATCACTCTTACTGGGAGATCTTACTACTTTTCATCTCTATTAAATAGGTTGCTGGTGGGAAAAACGTTCCTGCTGCAGTACAGAAAGTAGCAAAGGCTTCAATTGACCAAAGCAGACAAATGAGATACCAGTCCTTGAATGAGTACAGGAAACGCTTCATGTTAAAACCATTCAAATCATTTGAAGAACTTACAGGTAACAGTGTTCATCCTTTCTAACAAACAAGGGCTCTCTTCTTAAAATGGCCAACAGAGTCCTACAGTGTTGTTACTGGCTTGAGCAGGACAGTCTTGCAAGGAAAATAGGATTTTTCCACTTATGTTTTTTACTAATCAATTACAGGAGAAAAAGAAATGGCAGCGGAACTGGAAGAGCTTTATGGAGACATTGATGCTATGGAGCTGTACCCAGGCCTTCTTGTAGAAAAGCCACGACCAGGTGCCATCTTCGGTGAAACAATGGTGGAAATTGGAGCACCATTCTCTCTGAAAGGACTCATGGGAAATGCCATCTGCTCCCCTGAGTACTGGAAGCCTAGCACCTTTGGTGGAAAAGTTGGATTTGAAATAATCAATACTGCATCCTTACAGAAGCTCATCTGCAACAATGTGAAAGGCTGTCCCTTCACAGCTTTCCACATCTTAAATCCTGAACCCACAGAGGCAACTATTAATGTTAGTACCTCAAAAACAGCAATGGAAGACATCAATCCCACAGTACTACTGAAAGAACGATCTACTGAGTTGTAAAAATCCATCTATTTATTTATTTAACTATATAATTTATTCTATTTATGGCTTAAAGTGTCTTTTTAAAAAAGAGGGGGGAAAACCCCCCAAAAACTTGAGCATCTTCATTCTGGGGGTTGCCCTAGATGCCTTACTCGGTAAAGCTTCTACTTACAAAAGGGATTTTCTGTGTTTGAGCTCTACAGTGCTGAATCCCTTGTTTAAAGTCTTCTGTAACAGAACTATGTATTCCAAAGTGGACAAAGGTTCCAACTTTTTTTTATGTTGTTTTAATACTTGACAAAGAGTGTTAGTGGGGTTTTTGTCTCTTCATTGATAGGTCACATAACACTACAAAAGCAAGTTACTGCCTCAGCAACTTCTTACACAGGCCATTGAACTAAAAGTACAAGAAAAAATTGCCTTAATGAAAACTGCCATAAAAGATTATGAATTCAATATCAGCACTCAAAGATTAACAAATGTACATATACTCGAGACTTAATCATGTCAAGTCAGAAAATGCGTTGCATTCATTGTTGATACTACCTCTCCCTTATTGCAAATAAGGCACTTTGTATAGTAACTTATGTTTGGTTTTATGTGTAAATCTATTTTCATGTGGCATTATACTTTTTTTAATTTATTTAAAGAAAATGGAACTTCTTTTGTATACTACTTGTTCTTGAAGCATATGTCATAGATGTATTATTTGTGTAAGAAGATAATAACAGGTACTGAGCTTAGAAATAACTGACTGTCATGCTGCAATACAAGGCTGCTTGTATCTTGCTTCAGATGTTTTATCATGCAAGCTTGGGGAGGTCTTAAACTTAGTCCAAATTATTGGTATTCTTTTTGTAGCTGTAGTTATCTGGTCTACTTGATAATACAATTTTGATCTTTGTCACTTTAAGGACAAATGAACAGTATGGCTTTAGATAAGGATGTGACTATAGTATAGCTTTTAGTACCCAAACCCCAGATTCTTGGGGAATAGTGAAAAACTGAGAAGCTGTGTAAAGTCGCACAGCAGAGAAATGAATATAGAGTAGGTCTAGCAAAACTTCAAGGCACCAAGACTTGAAGGTAGCTTATATCTATGTACACAAGCTATATTTGTGACTTACAGTTGTATTTACTGGGGGGAAGAGGGATAATGTTTTGGTTATATCTTATAAACAAAGGCATTTTAAGTGACTTAAGCTTATTTAAAGCTGGCTAGCTAGCACAGAATCTCCTAGACATATTTGTCCTGATCCAGCACTAAACTATGTAGTCCTGCCTGGGTACATAAGGAGCTACACAGGTTCTTGTACCACCACTTTAAACTTTGCATGTAAGGGTATTTTTTTTTTTTTTTTCTAATTTCTAGAGAGGAAATGTAGAAGATGATCCTCCCCTAAAAGCAGCTTGGGAACTATAGATAAAAAGAAAAGTCACTTCAGACTGGAATAGAGCAGCACCCCGCTATTATGTGCCTCTGCCCAAAATTTCTTGACTACTTCTGGAAAAGGACTTGAGTTTTTATATTTCACATGAATCTCTCAAACATTTCTAGAGGCTTGTATGTTGTAATGGCTATGGCAGTAGTATAGTTTGACTGTGACTTCTGTTTCTGTTCATTTATTTAAAGAGGCCAATTACCTTTTGATGTGTAAGTTTGTAATTTTTAGTGTGAATAGCTGAATCAAGATCTCCTGTAGCAGTCAGTACAAGTGACTGATTTGAGGTGGTCTTTGGTATGAATGCTTTGAGAGAAAGAAGGTCATTTGTTTTCCTTCTTCTGTTTGAAGCATGAAGAAGGGAAAATTTTCAATAACCTTGTATTAAAAGGTGGTTAGTACTGTATTTGCTCATAAGTGAAAACTGCTTGGACACTTGATAAATATGTAATTATTATTCAGATCCGTCTCTGGAACACACTTCAGAGCACCCTTCTATTAGTAACAAGGAAAAGTGTTTGGCTTAGAGTCAAAGGGAGGCGAGTCTGGACAGATCTAGTTATTTTAGGGCATGTAATAGAGGAATTCCTCAGACCATGTAATTTGAGTTAAGTTATAAGCTGCTTCAGAACAGAATCATGTTCACTGTGTTTTGTACTCTGCAGCCACATTTCAACAGTCACTCATCTTTGACCCAACCTGCTGGGTTTGGCTGGGTTCAAGTTGCTTATGATAAATATGTATGTTTGAGATTATTTATTTTAAAAGTCTGTGAATTGTTTTTCATTTTATTTTTGTAGGACAATAATGTTTTTAAAATGCAATTGTTTATATAAATAAATTGAAAACATTTCCTGTATGGGCTTATTTGTGTGTGATTTCCTTCAGCCGTATTTAGTATGAAATAATTCTTTCACTTTATTTGCCACTCAGGATTAAATGGGGAATTCTAGGCAATTAAACAGCATTAAATTATCTTGTATAAATTCTCAGATCTATGTGCCTGTAACTTAGATCATCCAAATATGTTGTCTAGGGTTTTTCCTTTTCACTGGTAACCAACGGGCAGGATTTCACTATGACAGAGTTAGAGAAGCCAGCTGCTATACCCCAACAGTGAAGATGCCACCATTGGTGCCTCTTGAGGATGTAGGTGATTTAGAGGGGAAGTACAATATCAGAAATGCACAACAGCAAGTTCGTGTAACCAACCTGCCTTTACCACTCTAGGTGCTAAGACTTTCCTAAGTCAGAACAGGCCGTAGATCTTTCTCTTCAAGCTTAGCATGCTTCATGAGGTGAAACCACTTCAGCATACAAACAACCACTGCACAAGTCCTTTGCACTTGAGTGAGTTTTCAGCAGTGGTAGCTTGTCCCTGTATTCAGACAGGAAATTCTGAAGCTGTGACATCCACTTCTTCACTGACTGCTTTCCTTTTACATAAGGGTCCTGCTTTGTTATCATCATCACAGTTACTGGCTAACTTTGCAGAGTCATGCAAGCTAGAAAGATGGGCAGTGGGGTTAAGAGAAGCAGTGGTGTGCTTAATAAAATAACAGAGGCAGGAATTGCACGAGTTGGTGCAATATGTTCCTCTTGTACAAGGAGCATCTCCAAGGTCATCAGTTTCTTCCTTATGTTTTCATCTCTGATAAGGAATGAGGGGAAGCTATGAAGAAGACAACTGAGGGGATTATGCACTTTGTACTGTTTCAGTCATCTCCTACCACCTCCACCCAGACACCGAACAAATGTCACCTCATGCACCCTTTTGCGCTCAGCTCCCACTATCATCCCATTGTTAACTGTGTCAAATACTCCCCCATCCCACTATCGGTGCCCTGTCCTCTCACAGTTTGTTCATAAGTGATCAGCCCCATAGCCACAGTCCTTCACCCAGAGCCACCTTCCTTCCAGCCACACAAAATGGTCTTTGGTCTAAGGCTCATCCCAGTGACACACAACTTCATATACCCAACAGTACTCCAGCCCTGAGAACATGTAGCTCCTTTCCATCACCACTGTACAGTTCCCTTACTTATTGTACCCAGGAACCTAAACACTTCCAGCTGTTCCCCTCAGCTTAAAACTCAGTCTTCATCACTTCAGTGACCATCTTCAGCTCAAAAAAAAAGCAATGTTTTGAGGACCCTTCCAAGAGCATCACTTCAGTCCCTCACCTGGCTGGATGTGGAGGCTATGGGTGAACAGAGGCATGTGCAGACCATGTATGAGGAATGTGGCTTTTTTTTTTTTCTTTAATAGCCAGCCAACTCTGCTTGACAAGTTAATTCATTTCTTACATGTTTCTTTTTTGAGGGGAAATGGAGAGAGGGAGTGAGCAAAAACAACTTCAGGAGAAGCATGGGTTTGGCTGCTGCTGCCAGCATGGCGAGGCACTGCATGGGGAAGCGTGGCAGCATGAAGGCAGCAGTGAGGTCATTCACAGAGAAGGTGTTTCAGGTGACTGCTACCCTAATTAGGGAAGGGCCAGTCCAGATGGATTCAGCACACGATGGATGAGATAGCTTGATCATGGAGCAGCTCCTCCTTCCCTCTGAGCAGGGGCATGTCCTGATGATACAAAAGGCAAGAATGTTCCTCAGAGGAAACTTGCCCTATGAGATACTTGCTCTCCAACCTGGGCTGAGGTAACTGTTTCACCCAAGGCAATGCAGTAAAGGAGGGGGCCTCAGCATTTAAGTCATGCCCTTGGAGGGGAAGTCCATCAAAGACTACAAGAGCTCTGCGCTTTGGAAGCAGGTAACTATACACCATCACCTTTACCAAGGGCTTTTGCCTTTCATTATTGGCTTGCTTGCCTACTGTGTAAGAGGTCTTTATGGATGCTGAGTCGGAGCCCCGCAGGCATCTGACCAGGATTATTACTTCTGATATGCTCACCGGAGGTGCACTGACTGAAGCACTGATGCTCCCAAGACATCTGCTTCACCTAGATTTCAGGAAGCATTTCTATCACAAGCGGCTTCTGCTTTGCAACAGAATACTCCTTCAGCTTTCAGCAGCAATCCAGAAAAGTTAACAGGTAGTTTGACCAAGGTGCAGAAAGGACAGGAAGGAGAGAGGGAAACCCATGTAGAGGGGAATGGACATATCACTCGTTCCTTGCCTGCTCACACCCACTGAAATAGGTGAACAGCTCTGGAAAAGCTTAATGCAAAGATGTACTCTTTCCTTTGGAAGACCAGAAAGGAAAAGAATCTGCAAGTTGTAAGAATATATATATATATATACTCATATATATACACTCTCATATATATATATATATGACAGAAAGGAGCAGGCTCTACCTATATACTCTAAATATGGAAAAGGAAGTGAATGGAGAGATCCTAAACTTTTTGCTAAAAGGCATGAAAAGAGCCACACAAGGCAGAAATACAGCAGCATCACAAAGAAAAATCATATGGGAAAAAATCTCATTGGAAAGATCTGAATGCTCCTCTTCCTTTAATGTGGAGTTTCAGTTTGGAAATAACATCATACTGATAGGCAACATGATTGGTTTCAAGTTGCACTTTTTTCCCTTTGATACTTATTTTCTAAAATTAGCATAAAATTTCCTGTGACTTATGTTCTTACTTACTCTGTAACTCTAGACATTTTCACTGAAATTGTCAAGAAACTGATCACAACCAAAAAAACCCCACCAACCACTGCATTCCTCCTCTGCTGTTCAGGAATGAGACAAACAAGAACACAGATGTCAACAAAGTGAGAAGGAAAACGGTAGCCCAAGAAATTCACAAATTTTCCTTACATGGATTTTCTTTAATGAAAATCCTGAATCCATACTGAAAAGCACAGCATTCACTTACAGCCACACTAAAGCTTGGGAAACCAGACAGTCACAGGTGGCCTGGTCAAACTGGGAGCTGAGTGCCACCAGTAAAGGATATTAAAGCTTGTGAGATCTCAACAGTTTACCATTGGGAGAGGGCAGAGTACAAAGCGCTCAAGGTTTGACTCATGCCGGTTGCTTGTCCTCAGTTCTGAGCAAGTGGGTATTAGCCATCAGATAGAAACGAAAGCATGGAAACCCCAAACCTGGAGGTGGAAGTCAAATACTATTCAAAGCATCTACTTCCAAACCAACCCACTGCATGCCATCTGAGCATCAAGCCCACCGCAGGGCCTGTCTACAGAAAGTTGAAAATACATTGTATCTTCTAACAAACTGTAATCTCCTGGTTTTTTGTTGTTAATTAGTAGCTGCTACCAGAAGGGCACTGGGAAAATACAAAGTATCACATAACTAGCAGCAGCCTGCTTGACAAGTCCCCCCCATCTTTGTTTAATGCAGGACAGTAGTAGTTCATGCTTCCATCTCTAAGCCAAAAAAACTTGCAAAAAGTAAAGGAGTATCCTGCGGGAAATGCATTCTTGCTCTGGACTTAATTTTTTCACAGTAACCAGGTGTAGTTCATTACTTCAGGCTTACACAGTAGTGGATATAGGTGTGTGCAAGCATCCTTGTTCAAACCTGCCCTGCTGACAGGTAATTTTAACACCCATTCATTTTCCACAAAAGGACTGCATTTGTGGTAGACTTTGCTATGAGAGCACATGAAACTTTTTAAGCACACACCCCTTGAAATGGACAAAAATGTGAAAACAATGCCCATCACACTGAGCATGGTGGAGCAGCCAGGTGGCAGTTGGAGATGGCATGTTCCCCAGACGATGTGTCATCTCATCTTGCTTTCCCCTATACCACTAAGATCTACCCAAAGAAAATATTTTCATAAGTATTCATCAAGGAAACATTGTGCAAGTCATTCTGGCTTTAGCGTAATGCCATAATGTGTGGCTGCTAATAAGGGTATTTCTGAATTTACGCTGACCGGTCTTCAGAGACAGGAGGTAAGACAAAGACCCTGAGACTTGGTGTAAGTTTACTTTGGTATAAAAGCCCAGCTCTGTGAGACTGCAAAAGCATCGATTGTTCAGTATGATTTTAATCCCAGAAAAGCTTCAGTGAACCATGACAGAGCAACAAAACATGGCTAAAAGCCGCAATGCTGACTCCAGCTACGTCCTCCTGCACCTTCAAAACTTTACCCTGAGAACTGACACAACTCTATATCCTTTCAGTTGTGGCTTTCAAGCCTGTTGCCTAGACAATTTTAATTAATCCTGCATAACAAATAATGCAGAGTTGCTAAGTAGCAGTCATAAGTAATAATTAAAACAAAACTGCGTTGAGCTTGCTCAGCTGTGAAATACTAGTTCTTACATAAGGCTGGGATGTAACAGAAGATGATCCAATCACATCTTAGAGAAGCTGTAAAAAAGGTATTGTGTTGAATGAGGCAAGGAAGTAGAGGCCATTACAAGTAAATCAGGGCTGAGGATTTTTGAGTATAGAGAATTTCAGTGAAAGCAGGAAAAAAAAATGCATTTCTGAATTATAAATTGACTTCATTTTCTCAGTGACAAACAAATTGGTAGAATTTCAGACAAATTCAGGATGTATTTCCAGACCTGGGACAATAAAACCAGCTTCTTTTCACTGTTTGTTAGGTGAAATGTTTTGGTGTTTGCCCTTATGACTCTCTTAATGGTGAATAAAAGATTTCCCAACCTGACCGTGAAATGGAAGGTTCTTCTATAGATCAACCAAAATATGCTGGAGGGAAGGGGTGCTATCCAAACGGACCTTGGCAGGCTAGAGAATGGGCCAGTACAAACCTCATGAAGCTCAGCAAGACCAAGTGCAAGGTCCTGCACCTGGATCAGGGCAATCCCAATCACCAATACAGGCTGGGCAGAGTCTGGATTGAGAGCAGTCCTGAAGAGAATGACTTGAGTGTTGACTGATGAAAAGATCAACAT